ATTAAAAAAAAAAAAAAATCAATTTAAACTCATGGGAAGAAAGATGTTTTGTAATTAAGAGAATATATTTCATTAACACATGACCTTGAATCTAAAAAAAAAAAAAAGAATAGTGCTGCAATGAACTTAGGTGTGCATATAGCTGTTCATGTCATTGCTCTATTTCTCTAGAATATATACATAGTAGTGGGATTGCTAGATCATATGGAATTTCTATTTCCAGCTTTTTAAGGAAGCATCTATAGTTTTTCACACCCTGGTCAATATTTATTGTTTTGTTTTGTTTTGTTTTTTAATTTTGCTACCAATGCTGGGGTGAAATGATATCTCATTGTTATTTTGATCTATATCTCTGTAAGGAGTAATAATAGTGAGCATTTCTTTATGTGTTTGTTAGCTGTCTGAATGTCTTTGGTGAAGTGTCTGCTCATGTTCTCTGACCATCTTTTAATTGGGATATTTATCATTTGTTGTTAAGGTGCTGAAGTTTTCTATAAATTTTAGATATTAGCCCCGTATCCCATATGTCATTGCCGAAATTGTCTTCTCAGTCTGTGGGTTTCTTTTTTTTTTTACTCTTATGGTAAAATGTTTTGATGTGTGTATTTAAGTTTTAGGAGGTCCCAGTCATCTATTTTGTCTTCCGATATTTGTGCATTTTCACTTATGTTTAATAGTATATTTATACCCTGAATTAGGGCCCTTAAGATTATACTTTTTTTTTCTTTGATGATATTTATGGTTTTGCATTCAAGTCTTTGTTTCAACTTGAGTTCATTTTTGTATATGTGTGAGATGTGGGTCTTGTTTCATTTTTCTGCAAATGGAGATCCAGTTTTGCCAGCAACTGCAGACTGTCTTTTTCCCTTTAATGAGTTTTGGTCCTTTGTCAAAGATCAACTGTCCATAGGTGGATGGATTTACTTTAGGGTTCTCAATTCTGTTCTAATTCAAGGGGTGTTCTGATTGTCAAAACAAGATATCATTCATAAACATGTCAAGAATATAATCCAAAACAAAATGAAATTAAGTGCTAAAAGTTTGCTATGGACAGACTTAAGTGCTACTTAGGTTCCAAAAACACCCACAGCTTGATACATCCTTCACCACTTTGAAGGCTTGAGTGTTGGCAGTGATGTGTTGGGTTTGTGAGGATGGAGAGTCTTACTTGAGAAAGTGTATGTGTTCTGCCTGCAGGCATGGGACCCGCTGTGCTGGAGAAGTGGCAGCGGCTGCAAACAACTCTCACTGCACAGTTGGAATTGCTTTCAACGCCAAGATTGGAGGTATGGGAAACAAACTGCGTAGGTATAAAAATGAGTCAAGTGCTCTAATGCTAACTGGTTTTCAGAAACCTTTTGAACTAAAGGCAGGCATATGTTTGCATAATAGTGTTCAACCATTGCTGACAGGAAAATGACCAATGTTAATATGTGTTGTTAAATACAGTCGGACTTCTGAGGAGTACCCCTAACGTGTTGCAAGCATGGACATTTCTTTCTTTAAACAGACATGAAAAAATGTCTAATAGTGAAGATAGGATCAATGACATCAATATACAATAGGTGCTTGGGTCAAAAAGAACTAATAATATACTAGGCAATAGTAACTCTGTGGAAAGAAATTCTGTCAAAGCCGAAAATCCTTTCTTTTGCTTAGGTTTCACAAAAAGTGCCTTTTACTTGCAGTTAAATTGTGAGATGGTAAAATCTCTGTTTGGAGTCCCATAATATGATGATACTCCTTTCATTCATAATTCTAGATCATATATACATATTCATATGTTTGCACACATTCAAACGTACTTGTTTATTATAAGGGACTAGCAAAAATAGCATCATTAATTAAAGCAGATGCTAACTATCCTATTTGTAATAATCTTTGTTAGCAACAGCCTGATGCTAAGACACTCACAAATCGGAAGAAAACATTATAAGAGATACTTGTAAGACATCCTGGTAGCATTATTATATCTGGCCTGAAGGTGTCCCCTCAGGGTCTTCTAAAGGGTATCATAAGATAAATGAAGTTCCTGGGACCAGGTTGACCTCCTTATTTTCAATGGACTGTTTCTTTCCAAGCAGAAAATATAATTGAAACTAAAAAATAAAAATGGCAATCCTTTCTAAGATAAGGGCATAAAATATAGAAGCCATAACATGAAATATTTAGGGTGTATAATCATAATGCTAAGAGAAGACTTTCTGAGACTACCTTGAATGTCAGTCCACAGTCAACCCTGCTCTTTCTTTCCTTCATTGCACCCTGAGTTCTTAGAATATGGCAGCTTGTTTACCAGTCATTAGCTGTATTCTGACATTTGCTATGTATCAGGGGAATGTTTATGGAAGAGCTAGGGGAAGGACACAAAGGCTTTTCCCTGAAGAATGATGAGGGTGCTGGAGACTCATCTTTCCAAGAGAATGAGAGGCTATGGTGGCTTCCCAATCAATCCCTCTTGCTGTCCAACACAGAGTCTCTCACGTACACAGACAGACATACCTTATCCCATCATTATTCTCCACCCTGGCACTCTCACTGACTTTGATGGAATTGGGATATGGATTTGTGACCATAAGAGCTAAATTGCTGACCCAGTTTAACATAATTGAAAATGTTCTAATGTCCTAAAACAAGAACATTCTGAATTTTGCATTTAGCTCCTCAAATCCAAGGTGTGAAGATTTGGAGTTAAATAAGGGAAAAGAACTAGCCTTAAATTTAATCTGGAAGAATCAAAGTTCTTAGTGAGTTTTCAATCAGATATGTTATCCTGTATATATTATTTTATCCAGCATTTTATTTACAGACTTCATATAAATAATAGAAACTGAATTAAGGTGTTGTGTAGGTACTCCTGCATGTTGGCATTTAGACATGTTGGTCATATTATTTTGTGTGACTAACTGGTACAGAGTTTATCTGAGATGTTCCTTTGCAGGTAAAATAGTTCCATTTCATGCTTTTAAATCATAAGAACATGAAATAGTGTTACATTCTTTGGTACAAAATATGCAGATAAATTTTGAATATTCAAACATAATTAAAATTTAAAAAACAAAACAAAACAATGGGCCCAATAATTGCACGGCATTCTGCTGGGTAATTTGCTTTTATAGAACAAACTGATGACATACCTTCTTAATACAGTTTTTGTTCAATAAATTAAAGGGATTTGTCCACAGTTTTCATTAGCAGCATCACTTGTTAATAGACATTTCCTTTAAAAATAAAAGTTAAAAAATGTCTAAAGAAAAAGACACTTAAGAGACATAGCAACCAGATGCGATGTCTTTAGAAACACTTGGGGAAAATGTAATGTTTGCAGGGTGTTTGGTGACAGTAAGACCTTGTGTACACACTACACTGTTTTTGATGAAAATATATTAAAGGATGAAGTGTCATAATATCTGCAATGTGAGTCACCCTAGTATTATATGTTTAGATGAAGAAAACATGACAAAATTTTACCAATTATTGCCTGTTGGCTGTCTCCTTATTGATCGTACTATTCTGTTTTTCTACAAATTTGAAATTTTTATAGGTGAAAGTTTAACATTTTTTAAAAAACACAAAGATGATATAGTTTCTTCGATTATTTTTATTTTCTACACGAATTCCCACTTCAAACCACATAGAATCTAAAGCTTCCTGGCTTTGGATTTTAACATTTAATCCCCATTTATTGGTAACTGATAAAAACTTAAAATCCTATTGGATGACAAGGTTACCCTTAGGAGTAAATCTGGGCTATAAAGATATCATTTTAAAATAGTGCAATTTTTCAGTGATAATATTTAGCCTAAGTAGAAAAAGGGGTATATTTCCTTAACAATGAGATGTTTTGTTGTTGTCATTTTTCTCTATTAATAGCAGACATGAATTTCCCCATGCATGTTTCCAAAATAAAAGGAAAGTCTGGCATTTGATATGCAATGTATTTCTGAGGATCTTAGTTTCTGTTTTTACAGAGTGTGGTTAATAATAAGTTCCTGTCTAACAGTAATACACTTAAATGAAGATTAATGACTGAACATTGCTAAAACCCTTTGAGAATTATTTAAAGTGTTACATGCACAGAGAGCATTCTCATTTTTTACTTGACTCATAAATAACTTGACAAAGAAGTACTATTTTGAGTTCATATCAGTCTTAGAGATTAGGAGATAATATTAAATATGGAGGAAATTAGACCAACCTAACTTGGCAGGTTTTCAAATTTTATAAGACTACAAAGGTCAGAATGGTTTATACCAATTATGAACACAAAGTACCTAATGAAAAGAAATTTAGGGAAGATGGATTGCTTGAGGCTTTCTCTATCAAGTACTCTCTCAAGAGAGGAAGAAGAGAAGGGAGAGATCAAGGTTCTTGCTCAGGGAATTTTTCTTGGTTGGAAAAAGAGTGGTGCATCTAAAAATTTTGAAGTCATTTTGTTCTTTTACATGCAGTGCAACTTCCTTTTTTCCCCCAAAAGTCTTCAGCAAAATCTACATTACCCTTTCACTGGGAAAATATATTCAATTAAATGTTAAAATACATGTTTATTCTTTCCCCACAATGTCCTGAAACTGGAATGTGTTGCAAGCTGTTTGGGTGTCATGTGGGGAAACCTCAGTAATCAAGCTCGTTCCCCTTTCTATTTTGAAGGAGTACGAATGCTAGATGGAGATGTCACGGACATGGTTGAAGCAAAGTCAGTTAGCTTCAATCCCCAGCATGTCCACATTTACAGCGCAAGCTGGGGCCCGGATGATGATGGCAAGACTGTGGATGGACCAGCTCCACTCACCCGGCAAGCCTTTGAAAATGGCGTTAGAATGGTAGGTTTCAAAAGCATCTAGGCCCTACGCTGGGTGTCTAGGTGATGATTCTCACATGAAGCCACCCCTAAATCTGTGGATTTCCAGTTGTCCAATCTTACAGGACTGGCCAGAGCTCATATGTTGAGACAGAAATAGAAAAACCAAAAAAACAAACGAATGTTACCATTGAGCCCATTCTAACTCATGACAACCTATGTGATACAGAGTAGATCTGAGATCCAGAAGGTTTTCTTGGCTTAAATCTTTATGATAGTAGCATGCCAGGACTTTCTTCTGCAGTACTACCAGGTGGTTCAAACACCAACATTTTGGTAAGTAGTCAAGAGCAAAGAGTTTATGCCACTCAGACCAAAACCAAACCAAACTTATTGCCATCAATTTGATTCCAACTCACAGCAACCCTATAGGACACTGTCTTGTAGGGTTCCTATAAGACCTCGTCCACAGGGTTTCAAAAGTTGTAAATCTTTATGTAAGCAGACTATCACATCTTTCTCCTACAGAATAGCTGGTGTGTTCAAACTGCTGACCTTTTGGTTAGCAGCTGAGCAGTTAGGTTACCACTGTGCAACCAAGGCAAAGAGGTATTAAACATTTGGGTTGAGTTTTTTCTGTTTGGCAAATGAACTAAGCTAGAGAGTTTCCTCTTATGAAAGCAGAGAGGAATTTGGATGCTCATATTTGTTGGAAAAAAAAAATACTAATTAATATGTTAATCGTGCATTTGGAAAAGTGAATTCTTGGAACTGCGACATTGAGAAGCAGAAATAATGAGACACGTTATTTGGTGTTGATAGATTACCCGACAACACCCTCCTGGGTATCTCCCTTTTGTGATATCTTCCCTAAGTCTCAACTCTGTCCCAGAAGAATATTATTCTTATGCTAGCTCCCAGACCCCCTAGCCAGGCAGCTTAACCTTAACCCATCACTGTCTTTGATTTCACTAAAAATTTATTAATCCTCTCCCCTGCTCCCCCCAAAAAACTAACCACATGATCTAATGTAATAAATCAATAAGTAATTACATAAATAATTCAATAAAATTTCATGAAAACTAAGGGCATTATATACTTATAATCATGAGAGGAGGAGGCCTCTGCCAAAAATAGCTCTTTTCTTACTTAATTATATACTGGCCTTTGGGTGACATATAGCATATATTTAATTATATTCATTTAAGACTGCCATTGTTCTGGCCTTAAGCTCCATTCCCTTCCCTGTGTCTTTTTTCTCCTTTGCAATTTAAGCACAAGGAGCTCTGGTGGTGCAGAGGGTAAGTGTTTGGCTGCTAATGGAAAGGTCAGCAGTTCAAACCCACCAGCCGCTTGATGGAGAAAGAGGTGGCAGTCTGCTTCTGTAAAGGTTCCAGCTTTGGAAACCCTCTGGGGAAGTTCTACTCTGTGTTATAGGGTCACAGTGAATCAGAATAGATTTGACAACAATGGACTTGGTTTCAATAGTGTAAGCTTAAGGAGCCCTAAGGCACAATGATTAAGCACTCACCTGCTAACCAAAAGGCTCACAGTTACAACCCACCAGCTAGGGAGCAAAGACCTGACTACTTGCTCCTGTAAAGGTTACCAAACCAAACCCATTGCCGTTGAGTGGAATCTGGCTCCTAGTGAGCCTATAGGACAGAGCAGAACTGGTTCATAGGGTTTCCAAGGCTGTGATCCTTACTGCAGATTGGCTGGTGGGTTCAAACCTTCAACCTTTTTGTTACCAACTGAATGCTTAAGCACTGCACAACCAGGGCTCCTTCCTTCAAGATTACTCAAAAAAAAAAACCAACTCACTGCCATTGAGTCAATTCCTAGTCATAGCAACCCCCATTGGTTTTCTGAGGCTGGAAATCTTTATGGAAGTAGATCGCCCCATCTTCCTTCCATGAAGTGGTTGGTGGGTTTGAACCACTGACCTTCTCATTAGGAGCCAAGTGCCTTATCTGCTACACCACCTTAAAGATTAAAAAAAAAAAAAAAAAACTAAACCCACTGCCATCGAGTTGATTCAACTCTTAGCAATCCCTCCTTGGGTTTCTGAGGTGATATCTATACGGAAGTAGATTGCCCAGTCTTCCTTCCAAGTAGTGGCTGGTGGGTTTGAACCACCAGTCTTCTGGTTAGCGGTTAAATACCTTAGGCACCACACCACCAGAGCTCCCGCTTAAAGATTACAGCCTAAGAAATTCTATGGTCCGGTTCTACTCTGTCCCACAGGGTCAATGAAAGTTGGAATTGACTTGATGGCACACAACACTCCCATCAACTTACTCCACTCCCATCAACACGTACAGCATTTTGCTGCATTTGTGATTCCCCGTTCTTTCTACATGGCATCTTGTCCCTCTTTCAATCTTACCACTATACAGTCATATCCTGTTTGATATCCAAGCCTCAGCTGAAATGTTACCTCTTCCCTGAAATCTCATTGCTCAAACCAGAATTAAATACAAATGATCTCTACCCAGTGCTCACTTTACTTTATATTCTAACTGGTGATACATATAATCTTTATTATTCTGTGCTTTATAGCAGAGTTAGCCGTGGGGTGTCTCCCTCACTAAATTGTAAGTTCCTAGAAAGCAGAGCCTGTGCCCTACCCATCTTTATGAGCTTTGCAAAACCTAGACAGTGTGATGAACTCTAATGAGTGCTCAATAAATGTTTGTTGGATCAAATTTAATTTACTGCAAATTATGCTAACCACAAGGTTGTTATATGTTCAGCCCAGATTTGGCACAGTGGAGTGCATGCGGTTGATTAATGTTGCATTAGAGCTTGAGTACAAATAATGATTCTCTCACACCTTCATGGGACTGGTGTTAGAGTTTCAATCAGAAGACTGAGTGAGCTAAGCAGTCTCCTGATTATTCTGAAATAGACTGGAGAGGAAAACTTATGTGCTTGTTCTGTAGACACTTCCTAACTGAACCTGCTCTGTCAATTTGCAACTACATTAGAGTCACCTTAACCCAGAGGCTAATGTTTGAAATCATTGCCTAGAATTTTCCTTTCAAGGGCCTTTAACACTAAATGAATGTATTTTAAATAATCTGGTGATTCCATTACCAAAACTCTGGTCTTCAAAATACTATTCTCTCTCTATATGCCATCAGTAGAATGGTAATTCAAATTAAATAAACCAAGCATCATTTATACTTAATTTCAAATTGTATGTGTGTGGCTTTTAATATAATAAAGAATAATCTGGAAGTGCTCACTAATGAGTGTACATATATTAGTAACACGCACAGTCTCATGAGTGTGTGTGTATAGAGAGAGAATGCCCTATTTTCACTAACTGCTTTTACTAGCAGACTGACAAGCATATCATTAAATCAGGGGACATGAACCAGTGGTTTTCGAATCTATTTTAGCTGAGAAGTCCTTTGTTCAGTGGAAATCTTAACTGGAAGCTCAATGGGTAAAACATGAAAAGTGAGATGCTTTAGTTAAAGGATGAATAAAAGAGGGTGAAGTTTAGAAGATCATCTGTGAAAACTATTCAATTGCATAACCAGTAACCAGTTGCTGTTGATTTAATTCTGACTCACAACAACCACATGAGTAGAACTGTGCTCTTTGGGATATTTCAGGGGTTGATTTTTATGAGGGCCTTTCCTCTATTTCTCCCCTGGGTGGACTTGAACCTCCAACCTTTTGATTAGCAACTGATCACATTAGCCATTTGCACCACTCGGGCTCTTGATGTAAGCACTTAAGAAGTTCATATTTATGCATAAGTAATTTGAAAGAATTTTACTCTGTATTCTTTATTCATTACAAAAGTAACCCATGCTCAATGTAACAAATAATAATCAAAAATGTATAAAATTAAAATTTGTAATACATTTCTCCACCCAATTTGGTGACCATCATTCAGAGTATGGATTCCATCTTTTCATATGCTTATGCAATACATACTCCAAGCAAGATCATGTAATACCTATGGCTCTGCATGGTGCTGTTTTCACCTAACAGTGCTTCATGGCTGTCCATCTCAGGACATCCATAAAGATAAAACTCATTCACTTTATTTGGTTCAAACTTTAGTGTATGAGGGTTCCATACGTTATTCACCATTTCATTGAGGAAAAGGTTTTACTAGGAAAAAAAAATGGAGTTATTAAACCAAACCATTAATATTTTAGAGTTAAGAAAGAAATAGCTTTTAAAAGAACACATTATTCTCTAGCTCCTAGCATAGCCCATCTAGATATGGAAAAGTAGTGGTGGCCCATTTGAATGTGAACAGTTCAACAAAATAGTGTTTTTCTGTATTTAATACACATAGACTTTGGATTTAGGCTAAGACTGAGTCCAGAATATGTCATTTACTACTCTCTGTCTGTATGCAGGTCACATCACCTCTCTGTTTCCATTTCTTCATCTAAAGTAGGGACAATTGAAAAAAAAAAAAAAAAAAAAACCCACTACCATCTAGTTGGATCCAATTCATAGTGACCCCTCCTTGGGTTTCCAAGGCGATATCACTGTGGAAGTAGATTGTCCAACTTTCCTTCCGAGGAGTGGCAGGTGGGTTTGAACCGCTAGCCTTCTGGTTAGCAGTCAAATATCTTAGGCACTATACCACCAGAGCTCCTAGAGACAATAATAGTACTTACTTAAAGAGACGTTGTGAGTGTTGAATGAGACAATTATGTATGTACAGCAGTTACACAGCACCTGGAACCTAATATGTGCTCAGTAACTATATTTCATATTTCTTTTATTTTTGTTTCCAGAGAAGAGTTTATGTCCTTCAGAAAAACTGTTTATCTTTGACCCCATCCCCTGTCCTTTTCTCCTGTATCATTTTCACATTGCTGAGTTCTAGATGATTCTACTGAATTACCTATTGTGGTATATTAAAAATAATATGGGGAAAGTCAGTATAGACTCTCTGAATTCTGAAGTGTCACTTTGTTTTTTATGTATCTGTATCTGCATATCCCTTCAATTTTACTTGCCCTTGAAAGCACATCTTCAACT